CCATAATGAAGGGAACAGGGGAGAAAATAAGGCAACAGCTATGTTTTTATGCCGCCAGACCCTGCGCATGTCAGTGCATCATGTCTGAACACCGAGCTGCTCGTAAAAATGGGAGATCAGCTGGGGTCCAAGGGAACTGGAGACATTTTAGCACCAAATGGGGCTTATAATTCCGACAGAAGAGTCTCATGAAGGGATCCGACGTTATTTCGCTGCCCATACCAATCACCGACGCAACCCCTTTGGCAGCATTTTGCAGGCCCTTCCTCCTCCAATTTGTGGGGTTCACCTTCCTAGTTACCCGGAAGCTTGAAGGCCAGAAGTCACTATCAGATGATCCCTCTTGCTGCACAAATGGAGAAACTGAAGCCAGGACTGGGGCAGGCCCAGGACAGGCTCAAGCCCAATTCTCAGTCCCTGCTCAGACCCATTGATGGCGCCCTGTTAGCCACCAGCTGCCGTGGTCCAAAGCCCTTGGCCTGGGATTGCCTTTCCACACGCATCTCTCAGCTTCCTCTCTGCCTCGCCCGCAAAACAGCAGACAAGGCGATGACCTGCTACACCTTCCCGCCATTGCACAGTCCACCACCTGGCTACCAGCCTACATTTTTCCCACCCATCCGATACTTCCACCTCTCAAGGAGCACTGCCAGACCTCCCTCCTTCCAGAACCTTCTCAGACCCTCCTCAAACTCTCACTTCCCTGAGGTTCACGGTTGATCCCTCCAGCTCCCCAGGAATCTGTTTCCTCTCTTTCCACATCTACAGTTGTACTTTCAAGGTTCATGAGTCAAATGCTCCTTTTAGGCACTGATTCACTTTGGGCCAGTGACTTCGCCTCTCTGGGCCTCAGTTTCCTCATCTGACAAATGGGGACAATGACAGCACCTACCTGCCAAGAGTTTTGGTGACATGAGGTTAGTACAGAGCTGGACACAGGGCTCCCTGCCCGGTAGGGGTGCTCGGCAAACAGCCCAAACGGCCCCACCAGCACCGGCCAGGGGATCCCCGGGTGAGGCTGCACCAGGCACCGCTGACCAAGCCAGCATCTGGGGCTGACTCGGAGCCAACTGCTGGCCCATTTCCCAGACCTGGCAAAGCCCCCAGCAGTGTCTGCCTCCCTCAGGCTGGGCTGGCAGCCGAGGGTCCGTCTGAGGAGGGGCTGTCTCAGAGGGTATTTCTAACACAGATTAATGATGTCCCTTTCCGGCTCACACTCCCTCCATGGCTCCCTGGTGCCCTCTAGGCCTCCAGCCCTGCTCTGGCCCAGGGGGGCTACAGCATCCCTGTCTGGCTTGATCTCCCCTGACTGGAGCCTCCTTCCAGCCAGCCAGCCAGAGCCCCAGTGTCATCCCGCAAAGAGCCATCGCTACAAACAATAGATTTAACAAAACGGACATCCCAGAAGCCTTTCCTGGGTCCCAGGAAGGGGGCATTTCATCCCCCGTTGGGAATAAAGATTGGGAAACTGAGGCCCCAAGAGGCCAAGTCACCTTTCCAAGAGCTCCCAGCCGAGCCCACTTCAAATCACACACTCAGAGCGCTTATTCGCTGTGCATGAGACTATCTTTTGGTGGGGGGGAGGGGTCGGGGGTGGCTTCTATTTTCTCTTTGCTGATCTGATTTTTTCCAGGGAGCCTGCCTGCCTCATGCAATTAAAAAGAAATGTTAAATAAATGTAGGTGCCGTTGTCAGGGTTCCAATGCGTGGGCAACAGGACTGATCCTCAACCGGTCAGTACCCGTACACAGAGTTGCCAACAGGGTCTCAGAGAGAGGCAGCCCCATGGGGGTCACACAGCTATTCAGAGGCAAATCTGGAGACTGACCTTTGGGGAGGGGGACAGGTCAGGTCCCCACAGGTGGCAAGGGGGTGTGGCCCCTTTAAGAAAGCAAGGCCAGTAAGAAGAGCCCCAACTGGGGAGGGAGAAAGGAAGGGAGCAGGGCCAGTTGCTAGGGGCAACCAGTTGCCTAGCAACAGACTTCCTCTCTGCTAGCTCAGGGCCAGCAACTGGGGAAGGGGCTTTCTGCCCTGGTCACACCTCCTCTGTTGCTCCCCACGGCCTGGCCCTGCAGGAGGAGTCCTGTGCCCTCTACTAGCCAGCCAGTGTCACACCTCTGGGCTTTTGTCCAGGCTGTTCCCGTGCCTGGAATGCCTGGAAAATCTCAGCCTTCAAAGCCCACAGCAAACATGGCTCTGTGTCCTGGCTCCTCCTCTGGGTGCCTCCAAGGTACTAGAGGGCTGGAAGTGTCAGGCTGGCTCTGTGTCCTCCAGACTGGGGGCTCCCAGGGGTCAGAGTTGGGGTGGAGTCTCTTGGGGGGAAGCATTCCCCGGAATTGGCTGGGTGTGCGATGTTGGTGGCCGGGATGGAGAGTGTGAATGAATGAATAAATGAAAACAAGTCCATCTCACTTGGCCCCCTGGGTCACAGTAAGTAGTCCCCAGCTTGGAGGGCAAATGGGTGGGGTGGCCATGAACTGCCCCCCACCCCCAACTCTCCAGGATGGGAAAGACGGAAATCCTCTGGCTGGAATAATGCTGGATCCTGGAAGTTCTGTCTAGCCCTGGGTTTGAGCCCTGGTCCTGCACATTCTCACTGGGCAACCTCAGGTAAGAGTCCTACTCTGAGCCTCAGTCTCTCTGTTTTTCAAGCTGTGACTTGCCCAAGGTCACAAGGCCCATTTGGTCTGGGGGTGTAGATTCAAGCCCAGCCCGCCTCTTCCCTTTAACTCCTGTTCCTTACAGACTCTCCACTTGCCCAAGATTCTGCCCACAAGTTGCCAGGTCCCCTCACCTCCATAAAAGCCCTTTTAGGAGAACCCACCAAAATAAGAGTGGGTCATACTTACCCAAAAATGCTCCCCAAAATACGACATCCTGATGCCTTCTGTGGAGACCCCTGCAGACTCCTGTCTAGGGCCTGTCTGAAGAGAGAGGCAAGTATGAGCTGCAAAGTCACAGATATTCCAACTGTCCTCTCTGTGGAGGAGAGAGAGAAGACAGTGGAAGAACCAAAAGCTGGGAGCATGCCAGGGCTCCTGAGATGACTCAGTCCTAGGCCAAGTAGCCCCAGTCTAGGAGGACAAAGCTGGATACAGATGCCCCAAGTTCTGCGGGGTTAGATAGAGGGCTAGGGGCTAGGGGAACCTAGACTAGAGGAAGGGGCAAGGGAACTGGGGTTCTTAAGCACAAATAGGAGTTCACTGTTGAGAAGGTTATTGGATGAGCCCTAGACTGGGGAGAAAAGTTCTTGGCCATTTTATTTTTAAATATGTTTTTTTTAAAAAAAATATATTTTATTGATTTTTTTTTTACTGAGAGGAAAGGAGATGGATAGAGAGTTATAAACATCAATGAGAGAGAAACATCGATCAGCTGCCTCCTGCACACTCCCTACTGGGGATGTGCCCGCAACCAAGGTACATGCCCTTGACCAGAATCACACCTGGGACCTTTCAGTCTACAGGCTGACGCTCTATACACTGAGCCAAACCAGTTAGGGCTTAAATATGCTTTAAAATAGATTTTTAGAAAAAGCGGAAGGGAGGAGAGAGAAAGAGAAATATTGATCAGAGGAACATCATTGATCGGCTGCCTCCTGCATGCACCCCTACCGGGAATCGAGTCTACAGCCTGGACATGTACCCTGACTGGGAATTGAACCAGTGACCTCTTGGTTCCTGGGTCGATGCTCAACCCCTGAGCCACACTGGCTGGGCTTTGGCCATTTTATTGATGGGAGAACAGGCCCCATCCCTGAGGGGAAGCCACTTGCCCAAGTCACACAGTGAGGAATGGATAGATTCGCACTCTGAGCCCACCGAGTCCAGTCCTGAGCACTCAGCTCCACACTGGGCAGCTCCTGTGGGAAAAGGGTTTGGTGAGAAATGGACACTGGGGCTGTGGTTAGCAGCATGGGTGTTGGGGTCCCTTGGGGTCTCCTGAGTCCCTCTACAACAGCCCCCATGTCACGCATGCTCCTGGAATGGAGTGCTCACCCCTCACCCAGGTGCTATTGGCGCCTCCAGGAGTCCTAACCCTACCCCCGGAAGCCAGTGTTCACCTGGTATCTGAGTCACTGTCCGGCTCTATGCCTCAGTTTCCCCATCTGCAAAACAAGGGAGAATGCCAAGATGGGGTCTTGCTGGGGGACCCAGGCCTCCCTGAAGACGGGGTGGGTCAGGCCACCTGGCGACAGACGGAGGGACAGTTGGTGTCCTTGGCATGTTCTCCAGGCCGGGCTTGTCACTGGAGCCTGCTGCCCCATTCATAATTCATGACTCCGAAGGCAGCTCAGCAGCAGCTGGGAGCCCAGCATGCACAGTGGCAACAGAGACAGGGCTGGTGACCGCAGGACTGGAAAGCTCCCTGGGCCTTACCAGGAAAGGACGGAGCAAGGACCTTGGACAAGGCTGCCCCTTGCTGGACCTCAGTTTACCTAATCTTGAAAGTGAGTTTAGCTTGATCCATTATCATCCAGCCCCAGCCCCTTGACTTTACCCAGCACCCACCATGTGCCCACATGGCCAGGACAATACCAGGATCTGTGAGATGATTCAGCCCTGGGCCTGCTCCCCGAGGAGCCCCCCAGTCTAGGGGAACAGAACTGGTTACAGACACCTGGTCCTGCAGGGCCACGCTGGGCCAAATGGAGGAACAAGAACTGGGGAAGCCTGGACTGAAGAAGGGAGGCATGGGTGTTGGGTTTGTTTGTTTTTTTTAATATATCTTTATTGATCTCAGAGAGGAAGGGAGAGGGAGAGAGAGATAGAAACATCAATGATGAGAGAGAATCATTGATCAGCGGCCTCCTGCACACCCCCAACTGGGGATAGAGCCCACAATCCAGGCATGTGCCCTTGACCGGAATCGAACCTGGGACCCTTTGGTCCGCAGTCCAACGCTCTATCCACTGAGCCAAACCAGCTAGGGCGGGTGTTGGTTTTTTTAAAACATATATATTTTTATTGATTTCAGAGAGGAAGGGAGAGGGAGAGAGAGATAGAAACATCAATGATGAGAATCATTGATCGGCTGCCTCCTGCGTGTCCCTTCCTGGGGACCAAGTCCGCCACCAGGGCATATGCCCTTGACCAGAATCCAACTATGACCTCCTGTTTTATAGGTCAATGCTTAACCCCTGAGTCACATCAGTTGGGCAGGTGCTGGGGTTTTAAAGCATGAATAGGAGTCCAGGCACACACACACACACACACACACACACACACACACACACAACTCATTCAACAAACATTCCCAACCTCCACCCTTGTGACACTGGGACTTTTGAGAACCTTCAGTGCCCAGTGCAGCCCCTGAGGAACCCAGCCTGTCACGCTAGGCTGACATCCCTAAAAGGAAAAGCCTTAAATGTCTATCTCATTTCTTAGTTTCTGGCCATGATCTAGACTCTGAGCATCTCTAAATCCCTTAGAGCTAGGCTGACCGACATAGGAACCACTAGCCTCATGTAGCAGCTTTTTTTATTTTTTATTTTTAATCCTTACCAGAGGATGTGTTTTTCATTGATTCTAGAGAGAGAGGGACGGAGAGGGAGAGAGAGAGAAACACCGATGTGAGAGAGAAACATTGATCAGTTGCCTCCCGTGCATTACGTGCTCTGACCCACTTGGGTATGTGCCCTGGCCAGGAATCGAACCTACGACCCTTTGGTGTACAGGACAATGCTCTAACCAACTGAGCCATACCAGCCAGGGCTGTAGCCACTTCATATTACTTTTGTTGTTGCTGTTGTTAATCCTTACCCGAGGAATTGGTTGCCTCTAGCACATGCCCCAACGGGCTGGGATGAACCTACAACCCAGGTATATGCTCCAGACCAGGATCAAACCCGAGGCCCTATGGTGTGCAGGCCAACGCTTTAACCACTGAGCACACCGGTCAGGGCTAGCCACTTAATTTTAAACTAAGTAAGTTTTACACGAATCCCCTCATCTGTGCCAGCCTTGCTCCCAGGGCTCAGCAGCCACACAGGCCGGCAGCTACCACGCAGGACGGCACAGGTAGAGACGTCCGTGAGTGCTGTTTTCGAGGATCCCGGGAGCCACCAGGCCCAAGTTCCACAGAAACCAAAAGTCGCGATACTGTTTTGCCAACTCTGATTAGATTCCTCCCCGCTGCAGTGAGTGCCAGTGTGTGTGTGGCGCTGTGCTCAACTCTCACAGGTCCCAGTTCATTTAACCTTCGCAACCCCACGGGGTGGGGGAGCGATCCCAGCGCCACATAGGAGGAAATCGAGGCACAGAGCGGTCACTCGCTGTCCCCAGGTCACGGTGATTTTGTCCGTGGCCTGTCTGCCAAGGGCTCCTGTTCAGAACCCTCACGGGTGGCCCTGGGCCTCCACGTCCACGCTACTGCCCGGCCCCCCACCACAGCACCCAGAGCGGTAACAGCAGGCAGCCCGCAGGCTCGGCCAGGCCCAGGAAGTGACACCCGCTGTTTCTGAAACCCAGGGGGCAGAGGGGTACCCTATCTGTCCCTGAGGGGGGGCAAAGAGGGGCCGCGGGGCCTCCGGCAGGGCTCAGACTCACCCAACAGCGCAGCCAGGGGGCTTGGCTCCAGTCAGACAGGGCAGGCACCAGACACACGCAGCCCCTGCCACTTCCGCCAAGCCGAGGCCGTGGGTGTGGGGGACAGGAAGCGCACCCGCCCCGCCCGCCGCCCAACTGCCACCTCACCGTCCCCTCCCAGAGCAGCACCCCTGGGACCTCTCTGGACCAGAGCAGGCCACAGATCGGTAAACGGAGGCCCCTGGATCTACAGCCCTCAGCCGAGGGCTGTTAACCAACAAATCGTAATCATGACGATTGTGAAATAACAGAACCCACAAAGTGAGTACCGATCCTGGGCTAAGCATTCCACAGCTCACCAACCCAAGGTGGGCCAGTGACGCCTGCTCAGAGATGGAGAAATCGAGGCTCAGAGAGGGCAGCCCCCGTGTCCAAACTTGCGCAGCTAACGAATGGCAGTGCTGAGAGAGACTCAACCCAGGGTCTCATTAGGACTTTCACAGGCTTGGGGCAACCTTGCCTCCCTGGGCCCCAGGCTCCATTCAGAAAATAATGCAGCCCAGCCAGCGTGGCTCAGTGATTGAGCATCCACCTATGAACCAGGCGATCATGGTTCGATTCCCGGTCAGGGCACATGCCCAGGTTGTGGGCCCAACCCCTAGGGGTCACGCAGGAGGCGGCCCATCAGTGATTATCACTCGTCATTGATGTTTCTATCTCTTTCTCCCTTTCCTTTCCTCTCTGAAATTAAAAAAAAAAAATTTTTTTAAAGAAAGAAAATAATTTGTACTGTATTTTACAGCTACATTGGCATAAAGACAAATATATTGATATCATATATTTAAAGGTTTTCTTTGATCCCACAGCTTATTTTTTCCCCTCCTGATTTTAAAAGAAGTTAAAACATCTTCAGGGGCCCCTGAAAGTAATACACCCAAGAGAGACACGGTGGTCACGGCATCTGCTGGAACCCAGGTCTCCTGGCCTCGGTAATGCCCGTGCAAAGCCCAGAGATAGGCAGGGACTTGCCCAAGGTCAAACAGCAGGTAGTCAGCTGACCGGGATGCCCCCCAGCTTCTGGCTGCTAGAAGCAGGGAACAGAGTCCTCCCTGGAGATGTCTGACATGAGCCCTGGCACCTCCTGGAGATGAATCCTGCCTCCCAGCACCAGCTCCCCCAAGCCTGGGGCTCGGTGCCTGGCCTGGTGTGAGGCCGGGCCCAGGTCGGAGCCCAGTCAGCAAAGAAGGTCAGACTTTGGCTGCTGGCCTCCGGCTGGGTGACCTTGGGATGCCCCTGACCTCTCTGGGTTTCCTGAGTTTTGTGAAACAGGATCTGTCATTTTGCTCCCCTCAGTGCGTTTGCTCACAGTTGGGCCAGTTCAGGGTTTTTCTCTCCTTTTCTGTGTCCACCTCGCGGCCATGCTGTGTCGATGGCCAGCTGTTACGGGCTTCCTCCCTGCAGACTCGGCCATCAGAGCTGCGGCCACTTACACACTCCGGCTTCATTCCCACAATCGCATCAGAGACAGTATCTCACCCGGGCCATCACCCCAAATGGGGAAACTGAGGCACAGGCCCATGTTACACAGCGATTGGGCCACTGAGTGGGCATCTGAGCTCACACAGGAATTTTTCAGTCCTCCCCACTGATGGCCCCCCTTCATCACCTTTTTGGGCAAACACTGAGCCCCCAACTCCACCTGACTCCAGGCTGGAGCCACAGCAGGCGACACCCTTGCAGACTCCCTTCTCTTCTCTCCACTCCTGGTCAGCTGTGACCTCATTTATGATCGGTAATAGCGCAATTAGTATTATAATGACCATGCCTATATTTACAGCACTCCCATCCTCCCACAGTCTCCTTTGATCTTCCAAGAGGGATTCAGCCCATTTCACAGAAAAACACACCGAGGTGCAGGAGGGCCAAAGCCACATACAGAAGAACCAGATTTGAACCTGGGGGCCTCAGACTCCCAGCCCAATGCTCAACCCTATGTCCATACAGGCACAGAACTTCAAGGAAAGGGGACAGGCAGGCCCGGCACCTCCTCCTGCCCAGGATCCTGCCCAGGCACTGTCTTGCCCCTGGTGTGGGTGATGGTATGTGGGTCAGGGTGTGCCCTGGGCGGTCCTGCTGGTGAAACCTGGGTGGTGGAGCTCCTGTTCCAGTGATTGCAGCCTGGTGATATAATGTACTGCATGGCAGACTAGCCCTTCCAGCAATGTCACAGTGTGACCATCAACCCATTTTACAGTGCAGTAAACTGAGGCTCAGAGGCCAGCAAGGCATGTCAGGGGTGGGGGTACATGTGTCTTCAAACCCATTGCTCTCTCACTCCCAAGCCACCAACATCTTAAGCAAAAGGGTGGGATCAAGATCTGGCAAAAGATGGGGGGCGGGGGGCGTCAGAACTTATAGAATACAGGCTCTGAAGCCCCCCGCCCCATTTTCAAAGGAGAAAACTGGGGCTCAGGAAAGGGCTGCCACTTGCCCAAGGTCACCAGAGACAGGTCCATCCAGAGCCGCCTCCTGGTCCCCACTGCGACTTGGCAGATGACTCCTAAGATCCGAGGCAGATGGAGGGGCCACCCACCCTCCTCCACACCCCCTCACAGTCAGCTTCCAGCAGGATCCCAATTTACCTCGATTTATTTTAATACCCAGGAACAGATGCTCACTGCCCAACCCCCACCAAGGCAGGGACCACTCCCAAGTCTATCTACTCCAGGCCCTTCCCGGCCAGGCCTGACCGGCTAGGCAAGACACCCCACACCAACCCACTCCCCAGAATTCCACCTCGAAGAGGGCCCATGAAGAGGATGCCAATGGAAAGCCCCCCACCCCATCCTTGTGGCAGGGGCCGCTAGAGGACAATCTACAGGAGGGGCCCAGAGGACCCCCAGTTCCTCCACTAGGACTGGATCGGGATTCCCAGCGGAGAAAAAGGGAAGGAGATTCCTTATCTCGGTCCCCAGAGGGTCTGCAGGTCCCAGCTGGGAAGAGGGAAATTGGGGGTGGTCTCCACTTCAGCTATCCTGGGTCCCAGGCTGGAGGGGGGGCGGCGCCCCCATCTTTGCAGCCCCAGAACCTAGACCCAGATACAGGCTTAGAATAAAGGGATTTGAGGAGGGGTCTCGCATCATAGCTGTTCCCCTGTGCGCCCCGGTTCTCAGCCAGGAGACGGGGCATTAGGGCAGGGGTCCATGTCTCCCTCCGTGGGGCCCTGATTATCACCTGGGGGAGGCAGGGCGCCCACCCTGCAGCCTCCCCCCGAATCCCTGCTCGCCATCCCTCCAAGTCCCGCCGCACCTTTGCGCCCCCGTGGCCACCGGGACTGCGGGCCACGGTGCGTGCGCTCGCGGGGCCGCGCGGGCCAGGGGCATGGGTGGGAACCCACTCACCTCCGAGCTCGGGCCGAGCCTCGCGCCCGCCGCCACCTGCGGCTCGGTCTCTGACACCCGAGCCCGCCCCGCCCCTCCCTCCGCCGCTGCAGCGGGGCCGCCGGGTGGCTCCGCCTCCGGGGCGTGGCCACGAGAGTACCCCGAGGCCGCGCCGGCTCCGGAGGCAGGGCGGGCTCTCCACGCAGCCAGCCATTGGGCCGTGTGGGCATCCAGCTCCGCCAGCCCGCGCTCTGATTGGACGAGTCAGGCTCCTTTCATCTTCCCCCACCCCTTCCACCACCTGCAGGTCATCTGCATAATTTAAAGCCACAGGCGTCGCCCCATCCGAGACCCGGTGGGAGGGGGAAGGGACGACCAATTTATTTGAGCTCCCGCTGTGTGCCAGGCACTGAGCAGGGCTCATGCGATGCCCCCACAAGCCTGTGAGCGGGACATTATTGATCCTCATTCTGAGGGCTGCCCCTGGGTGGGCCCCAGGGGTGGGGAAAACTATCTCCGAGAATGCTGTCATGTCACAGATCTGAAAGGCTCCTGCCCCTCTCATCTGGGTCCCCCAAAATGAGACTTAGTGCCTCCCTGTACCCCATTCAACCTTCCACTTCAATACCCTGCTGATCTCCGCCCCCCCCCCCCCCCCCCACACACACACACCTGGTACCAACCCAGCCTGCTCCTCCACCAGCCCCAGAGGCCTGGAGCCCCTGAGGGTCTTCTCCCTTCATCACCCACATTGGTCCTGCCGGCCCTGTGTCTCTGAAGCGCTGGACTTGCCCCTTTTCCTGTACCCGGAGTGGCCCCGGTCCAGGCCCCGTGCTCTCCAGGCTGGATGCTGCCTCCGTTTCCTACCTGGGCCTCTTGTTGCCGCCACCCCTGCCTCAGACAACCTCTGTTCCCCATAGCAACTATCTTTTTTAAAATTAAATGTTTTGTTTCGAGCAGTTTTCAATCTACAGTATTATTGTGAAGATGGTATAGAAAGTTCCTGTGTATCCCACACCCAGTTTCCCTATTACTAACATCTTACATTAATGTAGTACATTTGTCACAATTACTGAACCAACATTGAGACGGTAACTAAAGTCCATAGTTTACTCAGATTTCCTGTTCTCACTAATGTCCTTCTGCTGTCCCAGGATCCTATGTGACAGTTAGTTGCCGCGTCTCCTGAAGCTCCTCTGGGCTGAGACAGTTTCTCAGACTTCCTTGGTTTTGATGACCTTTACAGTTTTGAGAACCGGTCAGGAGTTTTGATTTAAACACATATATATTGGGTCCTGGCCGGTGTTCTCCGTGGTTAGCGCATAGGTCCGAAAACTGAAGGGTCACAGGTTTGATTCCCGGTCAGGGGCACGTGTCTGGGTTTCATGTCTAGTACCTGGATTGCAAGTTTAATCCCAGGAAACACAAGAAGAGGGCATGTGCGGGAGGCAACCAAATCAATGTCTCTCACATTGATGTTTCTCTCTCTCTCTCCCTCCATCTCCCTCCCTCCCACTCTCTCTAAAAATTAATGGGAATTTATTAATTTAAATATGTTTTTTATTGATTTTAGAGGCCCAGTGCACAAAATTTGTGCACTGAAGTGGGGGAGTCCCTCAGCCCGGCCTGTGCCCTCTCACAGTCCAGGACACTTTGGGGGATGTCCAACTGCTGACTTAGGCCCAATCCCCCTCTCACAGACTGGGAGCCCTCTTGCAATCTGGGACCCCTTGCTCCTTACCGCTCACCTGCTCACTGCTCCTTAGCCCTGCTGCTGAGGCCGGAGAGGCTCCTGCCCCTGCCACCCACCACCACCACCACCGCGCTCGCCAGCCGTGAGCCCAGCTTCTGGCTGAGCTGCGTTCCCCCTGTGGGAGTGCACTGACCACCAGGGGCAGCTCCTGCATTGAGCGTCTGTCCCCTGGTGGTCAGTGCACATCATAGCGACCAGTCATTCAGCTGTTCGGTCATTTGCATATTAGGGTTTTATTATATAGGATTGGCCCTGGCTGGTGTTGCTCAGTTGGTTGAGCATCATTCCATGTACCAGTTGCTGGTTCAATTCCCAATTAAGGCACATGTCCAGGTTGTGAGTTTGATCTCTGGTCAGGGTGCATACAAGAGGCAATTGATGGATGTTGCTCTTACATTGATGTTTCTCTCTCTCTCTCCCCCTCTCCTTTCCTTGCTCTCTAAAATCAATAAGAACATATTTAAATATGTTGAAATATACTTGACATACAATATTGTGCAAATTTAAGGTGTACATGTTGATTTGATATTGATATGTATTACTGTATGATTGCCACCATTGGGATTTGTGGCGTTTTTCTCATGGTTGGACTGGGGTGATCCGTGTGGGGAGGAGAACGGGTGTGAAGAGATGAGCTCGTCTCATCACACTGAGACCAGGGCGCATGCCATCAACGTGACTTATCACTGTGATGTTGACCTCAACCACCTTGTTGAGGCGGTGCTGTTAGGTGTCTCCTCTGTAAAGCTTCTCTCTTCCCCCTTCCCGTGCCGTATCCCTTGGAAGGAAGTAATTATTTACAGCCCACACCCAGGGGTGGGGGGTCCTGCTTCCCCTTGAGGGCAGAGCATCCACATAGATTATTTGGGATTCCTCTGCTTGGGAAATCTCTCTCCTCCCCCCTCTATCTATCTGTCCAATTATTCATGCAGTGAATCCATGGACCCGTGGATATTTATTTTACACGTTGGGTTACAATCTAATACTACTTTACTGATTTCCTTGCTCAAACTGTCCCAGCTTCGGCCATGGGGAGCTTGTTCAGTTGGCTCTCGTGTCCCTATCGCATGTATCCTGGTGTTTTTCTCTTAGCCCTTCCTTACTGTCACTACAGGGTGCTCCAAGCTCATCTCCTCTATTTCCAGCCCCAGCCGAGAATCCGCCTTTTCTCCGAGGAGCAGCCTTGGTGCCTTTCCCTGGAGAATGGTGCTAGGAACCAAGACTGGGGCAGTAGGGGTGCTCACTGCCCCTAGAGCTCACTGCTTCTAGGCCCGCTCAGCTAACAGAGCAAGGACATACATGTGTGTGTGCTAACCTGTGTGTGTACACAAATCTATAAGTATTTCCATATGTAACTGCCTGCATCTATATAAAGTTAAACCTGAGCCGAAGCTGGTTTGGCTCAGTGGATGGAGCATCGGCCTGCGGACTGAAAGGTCCCAGGTTCGATTCCGGTCAAGGGCATGTACCTGGGTTGTGGGCACGTCCCCAGTGGGAGATGTGCAGGAGGCAGCTGATCGATGTTTCTCTCTCATTGATGTTTCTAACTCTCTATTTCTCTCCCTTCCTCTCTGTAAAGGTTCAATAAAATATATTTTAAAAAAATAAAGTTAAACATGAGTTCGTGTAGATGTCTCCAATGAGAAACCTTCTTCCCCCCTCCCCCCTCCATTTGCTTCATAGTTCCATTCCAGGTGCAGGGAGTGGCTTTAGGAGGTTAACCCCAAGACTCGGGGTTTTATTGTTGTTGTTGTTTTAAATATATTTTTATTGATTTCAGAGAGGAAGGGAGAAGGAGAGATAGAAACATCAATGATAAGAGAGAATCATTGATTGGCTGCATCCTGCACGCCACCCACTGGGATCAAGCCCATAACCCAGGCATGTGCCCTTGACCAGAATCGAACCTGGGACCCTGCAGTTCACAGGCCGATGCTCTAGCCACTGAGCCAAACCAGCTAGGACTTGTTGTTTTTTTAATAGAAACCCTTTATCTGCTTCTCCAGCTCAAAAACCTCCCCTGACTACTCAGTACCCTCAGTCAAGACTCCAGCCCCTCCCCATAGCCCTGCGTGCCTGTGCAGTCCAGCTTTGCCCCTTCTTTGCAGTCTGAACAAAAGCAGCCCCACCCCAGGACCTTGGCTCCTGCTGTTCCCTCTGCCTGGAGTGCTCTCCTCCCAGCTCCACATCTGACTGGTAACTTAGCTCTCAAATCCTATCTGGAAGCTGACGCCCCCTCCCACTCCAGGACCGACTTGGGGTGTTGTGTCAGGCTCAGCCCTCTCCCCCGACATGCTGGGGCGCTCCTTGGGGGCCCTGGCACCATCCACACCAGCCAGGTGGGGTCTGAAGCCTGGGCCAGGGGAAGGTAGGGAAGAGGGAGAGAACTCTTGTTTCACAGGCAAGACCTTGGCTCCTGGACAAGAGGATACTCTCTGAAGTCACCGAGTGTCAGAAGCTTGACTTGATCCAGGAGCACTAGAGGCAAAGCTCTCACCTGCCCTGATCTTGGATCCCAGCAGGTTCTGTGGTGACGAGGAGGACAGGATGCAGGACAGGTCCATGTGGGGTGCCTGGAGCGAAGCTGGCCAGAGGACACTCGAGGTCCCGTCAACACCCCTACAGCCCAAGACCACCTCAGCCGGAGGTTCACGGGCCAATGCTTTTATTTCTGAGATGGGGGCGGGGTGCCCGGAGAGGTTAAATAACGTTCACCAGATCACCCAGCAGTGTTGCCAAGCTGGATATAACCACCACTTCCTGAGCACCTACGTGCCAGGCAGGTAAAGCTACATGCTGTGTGTAGGCAGGTGCCTGTCCCGGCAGCAATCCAGGCTCCGGACTAGAAGGAAACACAAGAGGGTGGACAGGGCGGCACTGAAAAAGGAGTAGGTCAGGTAGAGCCAGAGGGGTGCCTGGGCTGGGGGTGGAGGTGGAGGTGGGATGAGAGAGCAGGGAGGGCTTCCTGGAAGAGGGGCCCTAGCAGGCGGGGCTTGGAAGATGAGAGGTGATTGTGCTGCTTTTCCCAGGAGAATCCTCTCCTCCCTTCTCCCTCACTGTCTCCCAAGAGCTCACATCTTCCCAGAAAAGTGCTTCAATCCCACCCCACTAGGGACCTGGGTCCCCAGCCCATGCCCTCCCCTCCTCCTCAGTGCCTCCAAATCTGTGAGTCCCAAACCTGGTCTTCTCACTGCTCCCCAGCTTGGCCCGCCCTCAGCCCCAAGAAGGGGAACTTGCAACTGCTCAGTGGGGCATGCAGGCAGCTGCAGGCCCATAGCAGCTGCCCTTGTTCTGGGCCTTCAGTGTCACCAGTCTCCTCTCAGTTCCTCTGCCTCTG